AAATTTATATTAAATATCAAATAAAATAGATGGTACAATAAAATGGATAAGATAAATAAAATTTTATAAATTATATATACAATATGTATATATAGAATAAAAGTTAATGAGATTATATTAATTAGGTTAAATTATATTAAGTTAGGTTAGATTATATTAATTAGGTTAGAAGTATGAAATTTTTTTAAATTTTTTGATCAAATTGTTGGATTTTCAAATTCTACGAAGATTTTCAAATTGTCAATCTCTTAGATTTAATCACAATTTTAAAATCGCAAATTCTTAATTTTTTGGAGATTAGAGAGAGAAAAAGAGAATTTTTTTGTTTTTTTCTTAATTTTTAAATTATACTAAGGATACACGTATCATTGAGCAAGCAATTTTTCATATCTGAAATATGCACGCGTATATGCGATATAGTAAATTAAAAAAACGAAGAAAAAAGAAGAAACCTTTTACGGTTGGCTGGTACGCGTTTAACAAGTGGTTCTCATGTATCAATTTACATATGATTCGTTTTAATTTACCAAAGAATATATTGCGCTTTCATATAAATGACATAAGTACTATAAATTATATATTTATATATATATGTACACAATTTTTATATATAAATTCTTTTTAAATAATTTACATTTTCTATATCTGAGCATACTGTTTTATGTAACTTGCATGTAACTAAAGATTTATGTAAGCTGTAACTTATATCAAATCATTAATATAACAAGCATTAAAATTAATATAAGAATAAAGTTAAGCTGTTTAATGCAAACTTTAAAATGCAAATTCTGACATTACAAAACATTAATATATTAATGAAAAAATTAATATGTTTTTAAGCCAAATTTAAATGTTTTATTTAATTTTATAATTTTAAACTTAATTTAGATATGTATGATATGCGTAATGATACATAAAAAACTAATTATAAAGAACTTGATAAGAAGATGATAAGTTTGAAACTGATTACCGCTGAAGTTAATCTTGGTCTGTCAATTGCGTTCGCGATATACATGCGTATGTGTATGTGCCTGTGCGTGTACGTGCATGGTTCGTGAAATGCAATGCCTTTTCGCATTGTACCGTTGCAGTGCCTTACAGTGCGATCCCCTCAGATGCGCTCTCGAACGGGAGAAACAAAGGGAGAAACCGAGGGGGTCCCGAGAAGGCTGCATCGGGAGTGTATGAGCTCGCACAAAGTGTAAGTACGAGTTTGCTCGCGCGAGAGATTGCGGGAGGACGCACGAACTGCAGCTGCAGATGTTGTAATTATTAAACGACAAAGTATTATATAAAACGTTTCAAATTATTGTAAAAATCTTGAACATTGTGTGAATCAATTCTAAAGTATATTTTCTGTGTTTTTAAAAATTTGTTAAGCGATTGCTACAATAAATTTTGCAAAGTGCAAATAAAAGTTTTAGAATTCTATATCCGAGGCTTTGCAAAAATCGATAAAATTAAAATATAAAAACATTTTTTTTTAATTCCTTCATCTGTGGAAATTATTTATTTTTATTATGTGTCTTAAAAAGTATTAAAACAATATTTTGATTTCTATTATTAATTGTTAAATATTATACTATTTTTGTTAAATATTGTACTATATAAATTATAGAAAAATTAGACGATAAATTTCGGAATAATATTTTTAATTTTGGAATTTAATGAATTATATACTTTCAAGCAATTTTTTATCGATGACACGCTTATTGTATGTCAATTTCATAGGAAACGAATCAGGCGCAACCCTTTTACTCTCCCATGTGGGCCGATATTGTCTTATCTCGAACGGAAGGAGCAATGAGAGGATAGCGAAGGGGATACGTGAACATTAGTGAACATTAGTGTCAGTGAAGTGAGTGAATGAGTGTGGTCACGATTCTCTCGCAAGAAATTCTCCGTACAAGAGTTGCATTTGCAAATGTATCGCTTATAAAGAACAAAACGTCTATCTAGAATCCTATTGCAAGAAGTGAACGGTAGGATATATTTTTCCCTAATCAGGATTCTCTAAAAAATTTATCGTGAAAATTGAACGTCCTATTAATTAATATTTTGCAACAAATTCTTAATAAAATAATCTTTATAATATTTAAATATAATATTTTATTAATCAAAATTTTCTCACAAGGAATCTTTGATAAGAGAAAATCTCTTTTCTATTAATTTTTAAAAAATTCTTTGGAAGAAATTTTTCATAAAAATCTATCTATCGTAAAAAATGAATAAAATATATAACTAATAACTATAAAATCTTTTCTTTCATAGAGAAAATCTTTTATAGATGGAATCACTTAAATTCAACTCTTAAAAATTAAATCGAAATTGGCACATGAGAGCCACAGCGCAGTAGTTGGAGCACAGGGAAGAAACAACAAATTCTTTTCCATTTCTTCTTTTTTATTATTGGTTTATTTCAAAATTAAAATTACAATAATAAAAAGCGAACGTTTCGGATATAACATTATCAAGGTTATCAACAAGGTTGTGTCAACTGAGTTTGAGTCTTCGGTTGAGTCTATATTTACATTCTAACAATTGAGGACATACTTATACATTCCATCATCGAATCTCAAACCGGCATGACATATATATATAACGACATACTGTTATTAATTTAAAAAGCGTGGAATCTGGTAAGTCATGCTTCTAACTATTAATTTAAACAAATATATTTTAATATCGTGCTAGGAAAGGAAGGATCAAAAGATGCTCCGAAATGTTCGCTTTTTACTGTAATTTTATTTTTGAAATAAAAAAGAAGGAAGTGTTGTCCTTTCTCTGCGCTCCAACTACCACGCTCTTACGTGACAATTTCGATATAATTTTTAATTATTTGAGTCAAAACCCAAACTATTAAAATCCCTTACATTTTTAAATCGATAAAATATTAGCATAATCGAAGCGTTGAGGCAACACTCGTCTCTGATTCTACGTCTCGTTTCTTTTCTATTAGAAAATTCGCAATACGTGGTTCTCATTAATATCACGACAAATCGATCGATATTACACGACTCGCACGATGAATCATTCTTGTGACAGGCGAGCGAATGCTCGGTCACGTTTTAACTCCCCTAAACTGCCTGTTTCTTTTCCTCCTTCACTGGATAAAAAAAGGAATCGAATTTATTACGACACCCTGTGACTGGCGGTTTCGATAGGGCCGCTCCGAACATAGATTTGATCTTTACTCAACATTGACGATACCTCGACTGATATCCTGAATAGCTCTCCAACTTTATCTCGAAACGTTATGAAATCTTATTGAATTTCTAGTTATGATTCTTTTCGAAAAATAATATAATTACAGAGTTGTTTTTCTACAATTAATAATTTATATAATTGTAATTCTTCTTTAGACTTTTGAGAGAATTAATTCAGTTTCCATAATTTAATAATCTTAAGTTGAATAAAAATATATAATTCAATTATGTATGTACACATACAAATGAATGGGGAAAAGATTTTTGTCGCGGCGAAAGACATGTTTAAACAATTAAAGCTGTCGCAATGAACAATAAACTAATAAAATAAGGCAGATTACATGTTGCATTAAGTGCGATAGAAGATTGTCGTAAAATTTCTGCATCGCCAAGCGCTTTCATTCGCCTTGTGTCAACTACATTTGTGTCACACTCGTAGGGGGACAATTGAGACAAAAATTAGGTAGCCGTAACCACTGCAATTCACTCTTGAGTGGGTCAATAGAAGAAGAGCAATAATGATTATGAAATCCACATATGATTTCAAAACGACAAATCACCGGAGAATTGAAAAAATCACAATCTTTCAATATATTATATATTTCCAGTTTCGTAAATTTAATACATAAATTTATTACGTAGTAAATTTATCATGTAGAAAGGAGAAAATAAAATACCTATACAATATTAACAAATAATTAAAAAACAAAATTAAATTGAAAATTATAATATAATGTGATGTTCAAATTGTGAGAAATTAATTATGATTCTTTAATCTCTCTATAATTTCATAAAATTTTCGTTTCTAACAAGATTACTGTTTATCACTATGTGTAATAAGAAGATTCAAAATTTATCAAATTTTTTTCGCCTCAAGGTACTAATTTAGACGGATAAATTTAAAATCATTAATCTTGTTTACAATCTGCTCGTACACATATAGTCTCGATAATTAATCACGGTTATTTACGATTTCGAGATCTCGTTTTCTCGCTTGCGTTCGCATGCCGACGCGGATTATTTGACAGAAACAACATCTACGATTACTCGGGAAGAGCGGATCGGGTGGTATAGTACAACATAGTGGATTAATCTTCTCGCTCTCGGTAAACATGGACGGTTTATTTTGTCTACGATGTGCTAAGCGCGTTCTGCGTACTCGTATGCATGGTGCATGCACATGCAGAATCACAGCCGCGCGGCTGTGCGCGCTTAATGACGCGGTCGATCATCATCGTTATATTGAGACGGCCAATGACAGCGTGCCTCGCGATGCTTGGATGGAAAATCCACAGTCATAATTCTTTGTTATTAAATACTCGATAATGAAAAAATAAACACAAACGTTAGATTATTTTCTATCCTATTAAAAATTGATATTGTCAAATTTTATTATTATTATCACTAGATTTTTATTGTTTTTAAAAATAATATTCTTTGATTCTTTTATTGGAAAAATTAAAAATTAATTGTTAAAAATTAATAATTGATTGGAAAAAATGAAGGAAATTATTTCTTGAATATCTTTTTAAAAAAAATATGTTTTTAACACAGTTTGCAACCGATACATGTATGTATTGCAAATCCTCTGTATTATATTACTTTGCACATTACAAAATAATTAATAAATTATTTAGATATTTGATTATATCGACCTCATTTTTCCCTCCCTTTTTCTTTTCCTCTTTATTTTCTTTGCTCTTCCTCAATCCAAAGCAAAATTTTTAACGGTCCATTTGAATTGCAAAGAAAAATATTCTGATATTAAAAATTTGTTTAATTTCTTTGTTTCAGTAGGTCTGAAACACGGAAACAGCGGTGTGGGCAGCGCAAGTAGTTCTAGGAGCACCAGTCCAAGTCAGCAGCAACCGTCCCAAGGCGCTCTTTCATTTATTCCGCAACCCAGGACTCAGAATGCGAATCGACAACCAACAGCTACTACACCGAGGTAAAATTTGCATCGCGAAATATATATTTTAGATTGATACTTTTTTGCAATTACGCGATTATTAATCACTATTAAAAATTAATTATTAAGAATTGAAAATTAGTTTAATATAGGAAAATTAGAAAAGAAATATGTTATTTAGAATTTTCTATTTAATCAAAAATGTATTTTGGACATAAACTGCAGAGATTGTTGTTTACTGCAAAATGATTATCTGAAATGATATTATAATACTCTCTAATATTAAATATTATTATTTAAAATGTATGCTTTAATTAGAAAGAGGCATATCATTTATGTAATCTATTATTTAAATATTTAAACACATAACAGAAGAGTTTGCCAATAATATTTCTCTTTTTCTACTTTAAATTTCTTTATTTTTTTATTATTTTGCAGTCCTCGAACATCCACTGTGGGCCGACCTAACGGAGGCCTAAGAGTCCAACAACAAGCCTTGCCATACTCCGGAAACACGCCCGCGCCTCAGCCAAACAAGAATTCTGTGCTGGACAAATTCAAGCTCTTCAACAATAAAGAGAAAAATCAAGAACGCGGAAAAACTTCCTCAGGAGTTTCAAAACGCACTTCGAGCTCTTCTGGATTTTCTTCGGCTCGATCTGAACACTCAGACAGTTCGACTTCCTTGTGTGATCAAAGTAAAGCGCAAGCTCAAGAATCGCCAAAGAGTCGCGCGCTGAAATCGAAACTACAATCAGCCAAGCCGGCGAAGCAGGCAAGCCCGAAGACAGGCAGAAAGGAACAAAGCAAAGCTCAGAGTAAGATCGCGCGTACGAGCAAGGGACCGCTAAGCTCCTCGGAAAAACTGACGATGCCCTGTAATAATCCGGTTGTGGAGCAAGATGGAAAGATTGCCAGTAAAGTGATGGCTACCAAATTACCAAATGATAAGAAAACACCGAATCTTCAAGAATTGGTAAAGCAACCGGTGACACAGTCATCAAAAACGAATCTTTCAGCTCTGTCGCCACCTAGACAGATCACACCTCAAGATATCAAGAATGTAAATTTGAAAAATGAGCTTCCTACGACGAAACCTTCTCCCAGACCTAAGATGGAGCTTCCAGGCAAGATACCGGATCCGAAAATTCATCTGCAAAATATGAAATCACCGCCGAATGGTTTAAATAAAGACTTAATGCAAAAGGCTATCTTAGCAAATACCAACGGCATCATCAAGCCATCCGAATCAGTAGAAATGCTCACTCGCGAGAACGATGACTTTAATCGCACCCTAAGCATGAATCAAGCGAATTTGTCAGACTGCAAAGATTTCATGTCAAAACAAAAAGAACCGGAAGTTTTGGAAGAGCAATCCGAAATGGAAAGTTTCAATTCATCTTCAAAGACTCGAGAATCAGACCATCACAAGGTTATTTGCGAGGAAGAAGTCGAATCTACTACTGACACTCTTAACGAAAAAAAAGATTCTCTGACTGATCACATAAATCCAATAGCCGAGAAGTCAGCTAATGCTGAAGATGGATCCGTAAGCCCTCCTGCGCAGAACAATCTGAATTTCGGGTCTAATAAACCGCTGGCAGGCTCGAATAGTCCTCTTCAGGGTCCGAATTTGGCCGGTTCCGGGCTTAGTCCGGGTTCCAGCATCCCAAAACCTACCGCTCTCGTGAAAGGTACGTCGAAACCGTCGAAAGAAAGCGGCATAATCGGTGGTGTACCAACGCCAACGAAGCCGAAGAGCGGCGATACTCTTCATCGTAAACTTGATCCCAATACAGTAGCGATGGTGTCGCCAATGCCGAGTATTTCAGACCTCATGTCTGAAAGCTCGCATAGTAATTCTAATAGCACCGGGCAAAGTAATTCGAGCGACAGTAGCGTGATTTATAGACCAAGCAGCGAAAGTGGCAGCGAGATCAAGACGATTCCTAATCGGAAGATTGACACTACATTTGAGCAATTGGAGAAGGTTGGTGTTTTTTGAAAATCCTTTGATACATTATTAGATGAAATCGACAGATAATCATAATTTAACGACCTCTATTATATGATTATCAATAATTATATAATTAATAATGTGGAATTTTAATTTTCAAAATCTTACTTTCTCGTATCATATAGATTTATAGATTGTAATTTTTTCCATATAAATTAAAAAAGATGTAAATCTGCGTAATATCTAATATCTATTATCTATTATTATAAACTGTTCATCATACCTGATGCTATCCATGTTATTTTTCTGTCAAGGTGCTGTCAGAGAGCTCAACATGCGGCGGTACTCTGGCGGACGATGAGGCCGAGATGACAGTAAAACCTATGCAGCCTCTTCTGCGCGGTTATACACCCGGGGCTCGAGGCCTGCAGACCCTTCCGAGTCGCACGACGACTCGCCAATATACCGTTCTACACTCATCGTCGCATCATCATGTCAGTGGTCATCACGACTACACTGATGTAGACGTCGCTTCCGGTTATCTGAGTGACGGCGAGGTGTTGCGTGGAGGTGGCATGAACGTCGGCAGCAGAACCCTGTCGGATCTGTGCGACGGATATATGTCCGAGGGTGGCGCGTCTTTGTATGCACGCAGGCTCAATCCTTCCTATAATCATGAACACGACAGGTAAGTTCTTATAATATTTCTTAATTTTTTAAATTAAATATTATTGCTTATATTTGAAATCAACTTTCAGGGTACTATAAATTGTAAATTCGAAGAATCAATTACATTTGTAGTAAATTAATTGCAATTTTTAATTAATTAAAAAATGTCTAGTATAATCCATTAAAATGACATTTTAGTTCTAATTTTGTATCAGTGTCGCGACGAATGATTATTATTATATGAACTTTAAGAGAACATCAACGACTCGAAATCGAATTGGCATGAGAAAGGAATGAGGGGAGCTTTTTCACAGCTTGACTTTGCATATCAACGTCGACCACGCGAGCGATTCGCGACGCGAAAGTTTTGTCGAATCGCCGACCAGATTGATCAGTTTTTATCGAAAGAAATATGGATGAGAGAAAGGTGCGAAGGCGCAATGCTCACGCACGCGAGAGAACGGCGATAAATTAGCGCAGCGTGGGCGACGCTGAGCGCGCGCCGAGTATTGATCAAGAAAGCTCCGAGTCTAAGCCTGTCGCGAGCATTTTTTCGATGAAAAACCCGCAGCATTTCCGCGGAGTCTTATAGGCATCTCGCAGCCTTTGATAGTCGCCATATTAAAATTACCGGCGAAATAGATTGAAAGCTTTTGCGTCATCTCCCGTCACTTGCTTGAAAAACCTTCTTTCACTAGATGTTACTAATTTAATATTTAATATTTAATATTTAATATAAAAAATTGGAGGAGAGATATATTGAATATATAAAAAATTCTTCAAGATTCTGTTACTCGATGATTTTATTTCATTCAGTTCTCAAATAACGATCAGGCGGCTAAGGATTATTCACGGTTTTTTGTTTTTTGAATGTATCTAGCATATATAACGCTTTCTATTTTAGACAACGTTTAGATATTGTCTGACACAAAGTGAATTCGCGTCGTGATTCCTTTACTACGTTTCATTATGTCTGTGCCTCTCTCCCTTCTTACAACGAAGTACTCACGACCAACTGAAAGCGAGAAAGAGAGAGAGGGAGGAAGGGAGGGAAAGAGAAAGCTTTATTATTAGCTCTGACCTATGTATATTCAAATTAACATTTCAAGTAGCAAGCCAAATTCATTGGAGAAACGCGAGGGCGAAACGCATGTGATCCTCGCGAAAAATATCCTTTTTATATCGATCGTATTAGAATTCTGAATCTCTCGTGTGAAGCGAGCTTTTTGCGCTACTTATTATGCAACGAGTAATATTTTGATTCCGCGATACATATTCAGGATTTACAGTCATCGAATTTACATGTGAAAGCATAAAAAAGTTCTTTTCTTTATAATAAGATTTATACTTCCTTTAATATATGTATCCTTTAAGTTATCTAAATGCTACAATTTATCACAATTTTTGATTCGATGATGAAAAAGCCCATACCTGCGATAATCTAGTCAGACATTTGCACGCGTGTTAGGCGAGTGAATCATACAAAGCTCGCGAGAAAGACGCTTCTGCCGGATAGTCTGACTACGATCTCTAATTATGCAAAATTCACGAGGCTATTTCCGGAGACGCGTCCAATTACTCAGCAGCGCGTAGACTGCTTTTACCGCGATCGAATTAAAGCGCGGCCAGTCATTCGATTAATTTGTGAAAATGATTTTACTGTTTCCATAAACATTCATCAAGTTATCGATGAAGTTGAGTTTCTTATAAAAATTCAGAATCTCCAGCGTAAAATCAAATGACAAGGAGAGAAGAAAAAAGGAGTTAAAAAATGTAGGACTTTTATCCCGATATATGTTAGATTCGATACACACACAAATATAAAAAATATAATACACAAAGATAATAAAATTTAAGTTATTAATCTATTGTTTATATATCTTTTTCGTAATTCTTGATTTTTAGATAATTGAGATCATTCAGATTCATGTATCAGATTTTTAGATAAGAGATGTTATCGAATATTTATTAAAATCTTATGGTAATTAAATTCATTAAATTTATTAAAATCTATATATAATTAAAAACATACTTTTTTTAAATTAAAAATTATAATAAAAAATATTCGCTTTTTCTCTCCTTATCGGCATGATTTAATCATCGATATATGATACTACTATCGGTATACGATATAATTCAAATTGTTCCTCTCTTCCAAGAACTTCTCCGATGATTAAGAAAGACCTCTTCTCGGGTGGTATCACGCGCTTTATGGGATATTGTTTGCCATAACATGCTCCGTAAACGTGCCGGAGGGCATGGCATGGACCCCTTCGCCTAACTCGTTTTGGCATAATCGAGGCCGCGCGCGTATCATCCGCTTGAAACCCGATGCGCTCTTTTCGGAAATTCAATATACTTAGTCGAGAGATCCTTTTACGACCCTCATCGCCATCGTGTTAAGGGAAACCCCGTCGAACTTGCAACAAAGACTCTCGGCATATTTCGACGATTACCGCGAAAGCATTCCTCCTTTGGCGCTAAAAGAAAAAGAGCCCGTCTAAATATATTTAAAAATAAACGCATTGACATAGACATACATTATTCGCACGATGATCTGGAAGAATCGTATTCGACATCTTTATATGTATTTTTGTAGCATATCTATCTTTCTTATGATAAATAGAATATATGATGATATTATATGATGATATTATAATGCTCAGGCAGGCATATATCAAATGTGTAGCTGAAAAAAAAGAGACTTTTTTATCACTTATTAATATTAGAGTTATTTGATCTATTTTTTAAATATACATTTCTGATTTTTTGAGTGTCTATTTCTTACTTTATTTTAGTAATTATCTTTTAATTAATCTTAAAAGGTATATATTTGTAAACCGAAATAATTTTTGAATAACGCATCATCCTTATTATTTTTTATTACAACGGAATATGACGCACTTGTGTCGATGACATAATTATTAATGATTGATCTCACTTACAGTTGTGTATGCCTTGGAGCAGGAGTAACACATTTCCACATTTAAGACGGATGATATATATGTATTAAAACACATATACGATGTACACATATGGTCGCAGTGAGAAATCAATTTACCGCGCGAGAAAAAGGCGGCCATTCGCACGCCGAGTAGCGAGAGAAGCTGCATTATGTATCCTGTATGCAGAAAGATAAGCGCCTTTGTCCTTTCCAACAACAGTCCCTCTCAGCATTGTCCTCCTCTCTCTGGCCATAGGATTCGCACGCGGCACGTCTCTTTTCCTCGCCCTCGTACATTCTGACGAGATGAGGATGCTGCCGTGCATCTTTTTGCCGCATCTCGTTCCGCTCGGCACGTGCACTAGATAGACATTATATAATATAGCGTGATATAAAAGTTATATAAGTAAAATATTCATTGTCGAGAATATTCGGAGTATGTTCGAATAGGAGAATAATTTAAATAAAATATTAAAAATAATTATCTAATATTCAATTATAATTGAATATAGATATTAATTATCTATATTCAATTATTTATAAAAGTTTTAATTTTTTTTTAAATATTTAAAAATTTTTAATATATATGCATGTGTACGTATATATGTGTATCATATATATATATATATATATATATATATATATATATGTATAATTTTTTAGAAATTTATTAAATGGAATACCATATTTTTTGTTTATGCTTGTAGCAGGATAAAAAAATGCATTTATACAAAGGAAATTACAAATAATTAAAATGAAATCCTATGTGGTAAATTAATTTCTAATTAAGGTTAATCTCTGATTAATCTTTTTAAAAATTATGTAAAAAATTCAAAGCAAAAATAACTGTAGTTCATAATTTATTAATAATCCTTACATATATATATATATATATATATATATATATATATATATATATATGCGTGTATGTGTGTGTTGTACCTTTTGTAAAATCTGGATTGGTCTAATTAGCTCTTATAAAAGATCAATTTACGCAGTTCTCATCTTGAACATTTACCTTTTGTCGCGTAATCGTAAAAATTCATATAAGGCCGGTATTCATAGCCCGGTCTTACATTTAAGATCATCTTAAGAACTCATTCAACCAATCAAATAGCTACAATACAGTCATTGATTGGTGGGATGAGAACTTAAGATGATCTTAAATGTAAGACGGACTATGAATACCGGGCTAAAAGAACTCTATGCGGGATGTAAGATCATTCATCTCTAGATGAAAATCCTGTAGGAGAGAGAAAGATGGCGGCGGCGGCGGCGGCAGCTGCGACGCTTGCGTGAAGGCGGTGACGTCACTACGATCGATTCGACGTCGCCGCGCGGTGGCGCGATCTGCCGGCGCCGGCGCGTTATTATAGAACGATTCGAGGGAGCATCGCGACCGGGGGTTGCTTTCTCCGACGACGAGGCAAGAGAGTAGGTACCGAGGGGTGCCAGCGAGGGTGGGGAGTGACGTCGTCGTTGTCTTCGACATCGTCGTCGAAAAGAGGCAAAGTTTATTCCGGATCGGCGATAGTTTCCACCCGATTTTATCCTCGGTCAAATCTTCGCTCATAATTTGTCTCCGGTTTTCGGTGTGATAGTGTCCCAAGTATAAAGTGAGGGTGGAAGACAAGGAAAGGTGTCTGGAAACCGCTAGAAGAAGCGCAGCGGCCCGACCTGAACGGTAATTTCGTCTATCTATTTGTCTCTGGAACTTTTGTTAATTAGTTTAAATATTGGTTAATGAATACTGGGATACAAATGGCGGAAAATTCGAAAGAGGAAGTTTGAAAAAAGTCTGTTCTTTTTCTTGGCAAACCTGATGTTTAAAGCTTTGGATATGAATGCATCGCCCGCGACTTTTTAAATATTTACTAACATCCAAAAAGCAAAAAAGAAAATCTCGATGAACATAAACATAGTTTCGAATCTTCAAATAATCTAGATTCAATCAAAATTTTTAACATTGCCTTTATCTCTTGATATTATTTATTATAATAATTTTAAATATAATTTCTTATAACTTTTTTTAAGTAATATTTTTACCTTTATAATGTAGATAAATGATATTATACTATTATTAATAGAATGATAGATCTTTACCAGAGAAATTTTATTACATATTTATTTCGTTAGTAGTATATACCGAAAAATTTAATTTGTTAATATTTAAGTCATAATTAAATGAACATAAAAAGTTTAATTTAATCCTTAAAAAATTATATTTTTTTTTATTAATTGAGAGAGAAAGAGGGAGAGAAAGGAGAGAAAGAGGGAGAGAGAGGAGAGAAAGAGAGAATAATTTCCCAGACAAGTTGTATAAATTAAACTAAAAAGCACTGTATTACTATAATGTTAATATCACAATTGTGTAGAATGTTCTAATAAAGTGAGAATTTTGTTCTCACATTTACAGATGATTCTTGCAAGATTTTCCTCGGATTTTCTTGGTGTTTTCTGCTATGTAACAACTTTTTAATTATCGACGCTAATTGTGCTTGTAATCAAGAAGTTTTGCGAGTAACGAGTTTAAGAAATGACATTCGAAGTTTCCACTCGCTGTTCAAGTTTCTAGCGAGAACGAAGTTATCGTGCACCTGCTAAAAGTTACCGTTCAATTCGACGCCGGTCGAGCTTTCCGCAAATATTTAATCCGCGCAAAGTGATCAATGAGTTCATAAATCATAGGATACGAAAAACAATCTGAAAGTTAATGCAGTGAAAGAAAAAATATATTTTCGATTGCTGTTATATAAAAAGAAAAAGTCTCATTTTGTTTTTCACTTTTAATGAATTTTAATATGTTAAAAATGATATCCATTTAAAATCAAAACTCATTTGATGCAAGATTTAAAATTATTAATTGCAATTTGAATAAAATACGAGATTTGCATAGGATACGATTATATTTTAATTAAATTTGTTTCAGAGCAATATATATAATATATAATATATAAATTATTATAAATAAAAATAGAAATAAAATTGGAAATAAATATTTAAAATTTAATTACGTAAATTTACACAATTAGAATTAGAATTTTATTAACTAATTATGTACAACAGCACAATGTAAAGGAAATGAGAGACAAAGAATTTTTTTCAGCAATCATTAATTATAAATGATTCGGTAATTGAGGTAAATTAGACGCGCGATGGTGTCCGCTCTTTCGCCTCCGAAATTTTATTGGATTCTTTTTCTTCTCGAGATGTCACGAGCTCGTGAGTCAGTTTAGCCTCTTGTAGTTGGTACCAGAGTTATAAACTTTTTTTACAAGGCGCATTAATCCGCCGTAAGGACAGTTAAAGTAACGATCGCCATTAAAAAAGGTGCATGCAAAATTAATTTATAAAACTTACTATAAAGCCCTATGCATTCTTTGTCATAAATATGTTTATTATTTTTTTTTTCGATGCATTAATGTATCATTTAAATCTTTTCTCAAGAAAAAAATGAATTTTTTATGATATTTAAATTATATTCATCTAAATTAACAGATGATAGAAAATTAATTTAAAATAAATGAATCATTATCTGATCCATTAAGCTGTTGAAAAATTGATATAATTATATTTATATAATTAATTATATTGACTAAAAATTCTCAATAACTTTAATTCAATAAAATTTGTTTATATCTATTTCTCTTCACATTTTACAATTTTTATAACATCCAAATAAGCGAAATTATTCAAATACATTTACACAAATGAAATATAAAACGCGATATTTCTGTCGCGATAACTTGATATAAACAAATGTATGAAAAATATCTACATAAAAATTATCTACATTAAAATTACGATCAATTTTTGCGTGTAGCATAAAAGCAACAGATTTCCTCTCGATCGGTGGATTAACAATTATTGTCGCCATGAATTACATAGGGACATATATTACCTCCACGTCAATATATGCGGACAATACGTTCAAAAATATATTTATATACTTTGTATACCATAAACCCAACAGAATAAAACTATTGTATTTGCTTTTGATCATTACGTCGCGTATTTGTTTTTTTTACATATGAATAAAAATTGCTTCTGATCGTTACGTCGTGTATTTTTTTACGAACGAATAAAAGTTGCGTTAATCAATTTTTTCCCCTTTAAAAAAATAACAGATGAATTTTTAAATTTTCAATTAACTAACAAATGATTGGGAAATTCAAATTCTTTATTAAACGAAAATATTTTTACATTATATGCAACTTTTTCAGGTATTATAATTTTAAAATTGTTTATCTTAGATAAGTATATTCCTATATTGCTATGATAATTAAAAAAATACTATCTTCCAAGTAAATAATAAAATGTTACAACGACGCGAGTGTAAATAATTAATTTATAATTATGATAGCAAGGAGGTAGGAGATCAAAATTTATGCATCAGTGGAGAAAAGCACTACCTTTTTAAATAATATTATTAAACAACTACTCTACTCTACTCTAAATAACACTACTCTAAATAATTATTTACATATATTTCAAAGAATTGCATTTATTTTCACATATTAAAAATGCACTCTTAATGCAAAAATGCTGCCGGAATGATTCCAGTTTGATTATATCGTACGATTAAATTAATGATTTTTTTGGATAATAATAGCGACACCTGATTGATTCGCAGGTACGTGGGCAGCTCGCGACGAGAGCTGTCGGGGGTGAAGGAACTGGTGACCTCGAGGCGGGTGCAGAAGAGTCGGCCGTCGGGGGTCGCGAGGTCGGATGGCGGTTGCATCGGGAGCGTCAGTCTGGGAAGCGGTAGCGGCGGCGGCGGCGTCGTCGGCGGCGTCGGTGTTGGCGTCGGCGGCGTCGTCGCCGGCGGTCTTCTAGGCGGCTGCAGCGGCGGGAACGACGCCTTGGCGGAGCTCACGATTGAGGAGCTGGCCTCCATTCCCGCCGGAAATCACACCTCCGCCAATCACACGGGACATCCCTCTCATCACAAGGTCAGTGAACCCGCGAACTCGAAATCGATAACGTGCTGTTTGAATGAATAAGAGAGAGAGAAACTTCAATGCATATTTAAAAATAGCATCTATTCTTAGTACTTTTCAATTCAGGCATTCAAACCATCGTACTTGGCTATCATCTTGTGTCGATTGCTCACTAATAATATTAAGAGATATTAATACATTCTTCCGCAAGACAAAAGTTGAGAGTTTTCGAAAAAGAAACTTTTTCTGTCTACGATAAATATTCTTTCATCGATAAATATTTTTTCTTATTTCAAAATTATATTTTAATCTGGCTTTATTTTTATTTTTTTCCGTTTTCTGATCTTTCAATTAATTTATTACATTTAATATTATAGCAAATATTTATTTTTTTAAAGCGATCACGGAAAAGTCGAAATATTGCTTGTAGTTTCGATGTAATTTTCACGTATTATATTATTCTTTTAAACTTTTTTTTAATGACTGTGAAATATTATTAGAAACAGCATTTGCTATTTATGATTATTATACAAACATGATTCAGTATTCATTGATTCAATAGTAACATGTTAGATGATTAGATGGACTAATAATGACAGCCGCCGAGAGCATATTCCCGATTATAGAGACCATTTGTGCAATAATTAGTACATATATTCGTGGTTCGAAATCCTAATTGTATAATGATAATTTCACTGGAAACGTACTAATCAGAATTATTTAATACATTTAATAAAAATTATGGGAAAATTGTTTCTTGAATTGAACGATAAACTTCTTTTTAGCGAGGCGCAATGTATTTTAATACAATGCAATCTAAATTTATAAAAAAAGTTCCCAACATCTTTAAATCTATCAATTAAATGAATAATTTTTGGAAATAAATCAAATTTTTATTCAGTTTTATTGAATATGAGTCATTATTCTTTTCTTTGATTATTTGAAACAGAATTCAATTTTGTGCGACAGTGTTGATCAATCTTCTTTTTAATTAACACTAAAATCAATGTAGAAGGGCAAAGAGCGACGATGTATTCACAAACATAGTCTCATAAACCTATACAATCAAGTCACAAAGCATCGAGCATGTGTGCGCGTCAGCTGTTGCATCGCGCAGCTGTCGTGTATTATGTATCCCATCCCATTGAAAAAATGACTTTCTTGCTTGCGAGTTGCGAGTGCTGTTTAAAAATTTCTACGTTCCTCCGCTCTTATATTATCGCGCGCAATTTTCTTCTTTTTTTTCTTAAAACCAGAATTAACGGTCTTGAATTAACAATCTAAAGGATCTTAACGTCGAAAGGAGTACACAATAATTATAAAAGTCTGTACAATTATAAAGGTATCACAAAGAGTACAATTAAAAAAGAGAATAATTTAAATAATTTTTCTTTAAAGATATTTATATCGTATTTAAAGTAATATGAATGCATTTTAATATGCTTAGATTTAAGAGTCTAAGTGGAATTCACAAGAGCATGACGCATCGGATACTTATATTTTCTTCTTGAAATCTTCAGAGCTTCTTGAAACTATCTTCTAACTATCTATTCATGTTTTCAAAATGTTCCCTTAAATCGCTTCTGGAAAAGCAAGCTTCTGTCGTTAAAATCACTTTACAGAAATTCCATTCCTCTTTCCAAATCCACTCAACACGATAATCTTTCCAAGCTTCTCACATTAATATTTGTTCGTGTTATTGTTATCATTTTATCTTCTGTTCTTCTTTTCAGTCTCCTGCTTTCAACGACTCGTTCGAATATACAAATGCTGAGTCTTGTATCAGATTTTTTCGGGAAAGCTAAATTTTAATATTTTTTAATTATTTTTTTTATTATTAGATGTCTTTACTATAATCTTTTAAAATAATAAAATTAATTTTATATTGTTAAGGGGGAAACAAATTGTTGCTTCATTTAAATCTAAAAATAATTTTTGTTAAAATATTTGAAATTATTATGAAAAATAATAAAATGATTAGAAGTGTTAAATATACATAAACGTGTATAATGTTAATCTTATTTTATTTTTGTTCTCTTCTCAAGCACACTTAAAAATTAGAATACCATATTTTCAAATAAAAGTAAACAATTTTTAAAAATTTGAATATTAAAAAAATACATATATAATTAAACAGGGAAAGAGAACGGGAAAAAATTAATCGGATCGCAAATAATTATGCATTTGGATCTCACAGAATCGTTTGTTGAAATTGGTTGTTGAATAGAATCAATATCTGTCAAATGAAATAATAATTAAATATACTGCTATTTTCTTTTCTACTTTTATGTTTCCTCTTGTTTCTCTCGTATGAAAAAAACATTTAGAATAAAAATAACATCAATATTGCAAAAACATTTGCGACATTGATATTTTCAAACTTAAATCAGAATTTGATGAATTAAAAATTATTTTTTCTTAACTTTATTTCTTATTTTGATTGTATATTGAAAATATGCTATGTTAAAGTTAGTCATAACTTTATAAAGAAAAAAGAAAAGATCAGACTACATCTTTATATCAAAGTAAACTTTTCTTTTTAAGCTTCACTTAGCTTTTTGAAGAAAATTTCGCTTACATTTTTTCAGAAATAATCGACTTTTGTTGAATTAATTTTTAGTAGAGCTAGCCAGTAGAAAATGACTACATACGATAACTTTTTCTTCCGTTAAAAGCCAACTCATTAATTATCCGAGCATTGCTGCTCGGCCGCAAATCGACCATTTTAATAGCTTTAAAGTCATATCGATATAAACGTCCTTTTTAATGGCGATTATTATAATGAAATAATAGCTGCTGTCCCCTATTCTCCTTGATTCCTTTTGATGGATCATTTACCACAACTAAATTGCAATCTCGGCGATCACCGAGCCCTATAATAGCTGTTAATTAAATGTTTATGACTGCGTAGTACAAATTTATAGAAAATAAAATATATTTAAGGGGACCTTTTTATTTTTTAAAAGTTTGAAATAGACAAACATTAATTTAATTACATATTTTAATATTTCAATATAACAACCATTTTAAGTAAATTTTTCTTATATTTAAATTTTTCTTTATATTTAATTATACGCGCATTATACAACTACAATCAATTTAAATACTAATAATAATATGTATTCTTTAATTTTCTTTAATTCAATTTTAATTTTCTTTAATTTATTATTATATATATTCAATTTTATTCAATTTAAATACTATAATAATATGCAGGACATAACTAAAGAATTTCCTTTAAAAAATTTTTTGATCAATTTAAAGATGATTTTTTCTCAGCAAAAATATATTTCTCAGTAATAATATATTAAGGCATCAATAATTTTTTAGTTATAAACTTTTTTTTATTGAACAAGAAGAATTTTTGGCAAACTAAACTTGTGAAGTTAAAAGATTAATACAACTTCTTTAGTTAATTTCAGATGAATTTTATTTAACTTTAAATAACATTTTAATTTAAAACTTAGTTACAAAGATATATAATGGCAAAAATTGGAAGCTTGCAAGAAATGACTTTTTTTAACATTTTCATTGAGGAAAAATTATTTCTAAATTGACCAGAAAATCTCTCTTAAATAAAAATTTAAAAGTTTACGGAAAATATTCTGCATATAATTTTATTCATTTATTTCAAGTATCATACTATTTAATTTCTTTCACACACATTTAATTTTAATCATAATAAAAGATCTTTTCCAATTATTATTAATTCATCGTACCTACAATATTATTGATACGTTGATATATAAATTTCTTTTAATCCATAATCATACATATAATGTGATCGAATTATAGTAAAAGGATTGTAGTAAGAAGGGCGACTTTTTTCCTTCAAAGATGTTTTTATGTCGTTCCCGACTAATCCTCTCTCTCTAATCTGCTGGTCTTAAACTATCGACTCGCTCACTGTCGCGCAAGGCCCATCTTAAACGAGAGCTATCGGTTCCCGGTGTAACAACCCTTTTCGAACCCCTTCGAGATAAGGGAACGGGAACGTAGGAAACTCGACTCGTACATGGTCTTCTTATCGCTGACCAAGGTAATGCTTCTCTTTTGTAGCCTTTCGGACGTAAATCAAGTCGATTAAATGGTGCTTTAGAGCAAACGAGCTCGCATAAACACTGCGTCTTTTAAAGTAAAAAAAATTCTGTAATCTTTATGACATAATGTAACTTTAATTAAAATATAATATTTTGTATTTTTTTTTTTAGATGAAAAAAGGGTAGCTCTTTTTTTGGTTTATAACATTATTTAATGAGATTTGCATACGCCGGCAGAGAATTTTAACTCGAAATTAAAATACAACATGTCATCATAATATGTCTCTTTTAGGATGAAATTAAAATATCTCACTCTGACTTTCAAACGACAGTTTTTTGATAACTTTATAATTAATGTTTAATAGTAATATAAGTAATAGTAAGTCCACATAATTTTGAGGGGTAAATTTTTTCATGAGAATAACAAAGACATTCTATAAATGTTATCAAATGTATAAAAAATAATATATAAAATATATAATAATAATATAATAATATATAAAAAAATTCTCAGTTATAATAATTAAAATATCGGTTAACAAGAAAATGCAATTCAAGTGTGAATGTAAAGTCAACGTTAATCTTTATACTCTTATCGCAATCGTTGAATCGACTCGTTACTCCTGCGGCACCCTGTAGCGGACGGTTGCAGTATTCGGGAGGGCGAGTATACTTCCCGTTAGTAATATTACACGGTGTGTGCGAAGAAGTGGGAACGAGAGGGCCGGTAAGCTATGGATCGTCGACCCTCACAGTCGGCGGTTAACATTCGGGCGCCTCGTACGTTATGTTCGGAATCGTGCCGAAGGTACGGGGGTGATGAAGCACTACCCTTTATATTTTCCGGGGTGAAAATCGCGGTGAACATAAATTATCTTAATTGCTGGAGTAATATCGAGTGTATCCTCATCAGAGTGAAGATAGTAAACAACTATCATTAAATAAAGTGAAAGAAAAAAGTCGAAACTATCTCAAAAATTTATTAGTAGATTAATCTGTCAAACGTAATCCAGTGAACAATGATAGAGAATCATGTGTAATGATGAATTTACCCTTTAAATTTTTTAATTAGAAAATACATCACTTTTTTATTATTTAGTAAGATATTTAAATTGTTGAGATAAAATTTTTGAAATTGCCTTAAGAACGAATCTTGCTGTTGATAAGACATCTTTAATTTTTTCATGCAAAAGACTGCGTAATAGATCTCTAGGAATTATTGATTATTACAGTACAATCAGCTTCAGCTGATTCAAGTGTTTCATAATTGTGATTTTAATTTATTCCAATTGCAGTCACGAATAATGATTTATGTAAAGTCAATTAATTAGTTAATTATTTAATTTTAATTTTTTTCTAATTAATTAGTTAATTTTAATTTTTCATTAAAATTTTCAGTCTGAATCAATTTACATAATAACTTTTAAAAGATACTTTAGTATTATACAGAATATAATATTGTATCTAAAATATTTTATATAATCATGAGTAAAAATAATAAAAATAGTTATAAAAAAGGGATAAAGAAAAGGAAGAATGCGAATAAAATAATTGACAATAAAATAAAATAAAATTGTAAAATAGAGAAAGGTTTATTATGTGCAAAAGATAAGCAGAATTGCAAATTTATATTATCCAGAAGAGAAAATTCATGGTGAGTAATTTCTCTGATTTAAAATCAGTGGAATAATTAATAAATGAGCAGCAGAATAATATTATCATAATTTTATACAAAATAATGAATAATCTAAATATTAGCTAAAGAATATCTAAAATAATGTACGGAATACTTCTATGCGGTTACTGGATATAATGCTAAGAAGGAAAAGCTGAGAGATAAGCTGAGAGAGAAAAATTCTCGTCCTTTGTTCGAAAATTATCCGAGACGACCAATCGATATCATTCTAGTCGACGACACTCAAGGCGTCGTCGCCTTGCTGTGCTGCGTGCTTTACGATCGTAAAAAATGGGTTGTTTTCACGTCGAGGATTTCAAAAAAATAAACCTCAGGCTCTGTGCCGCGAAAGAGTCTCGGAAAACCATCTACTCGGAAGAGAGGTGCGCCCAGTTTATTTGGACTCTCTGCTCCCGGTTCGCGTACTTCAAAGGCATGCGAATGTTTGCTATTTCCTGTCGACAAGGTTGATTGCGTCTAACATGTAACGTGCCGCCTTCGATATAAAAAAATTATAAATTCGGGGAATAAAAAGAATTAAATATCAATGATAGAAGAAAAAAAATGAACGGAAAGTAATAGGAAAATCAAAGTAGAATTAGAAAATACATATATAAAATGAAACATAGATAATAGAAAGATGATAAATTTAGAAATCAGAAAAATAGATAAAAGTAGAAAATAAAAATATGATATATAAAAGAGAGAGAGAAAGAGAGAAAAGATAAAATGGGAAAATGACAAAATGTCAGAGATAAAATTATAACATATAGAAACGTAATAAATTCATAGATTAGAAAAAATTAAATGTAGAAATCAGAAAAATGGCAAAATTAAGGATCGATGTACGGGAAAAAATAAATATAAACATAAATAAGTATTGTATAATTAAAATCATTTGCCTTGTGACTCAAATGCTTTTAATTAAAATTTTCATTACTGATACAAGATAGTTGAAATTTTTAATTATTTCTTTTAAATAAAAAAGAGAGAATAATTTTATATGGAAGAAAATAAATGAAGAACGATATGCTTTTTTGCAAAAATAGATAGAAAAACGCATTTGATCCGCGAATCTTTTATCTCGAATTTATAGTCTTTCTATGCGTGTACATTTACGTTCTTCGCTATAAAAATCCAAGGAATCTTCCTACTTCCACCCCTGTGAGTCATTCACGATTCTACATATAGAAGAATGATAGAATGATATACACTTTCGTTGTATTTTTATGAACAGTTCAGTCTTTAAAAATTTTATCAGATTTCTTATTCTTCTTATTTCAGAAATTTGTACAGAAATTTGTACAGCTTTTTTAAAGAAATAAATTATCAATTATGATTTTAGAGACATTATTATATTTTTATATCGTACAATTTGTTTTTCGAATAATGTTTGCATTATTCTAGTGATTATTCTATTAATATCGGATTTAAACGAAAAATAAGAAATGAATAAAAAATAGAGGATGAATAGAGGATGAAAATAGCACAACGAAAATTATTGTAGCGTTCCGTTGCGGTGACGCCTATGTTCTGAATCATACCACAAAGGTTCTGACTTCTGCTTGGAGATCGATACTTCTCTTATTATGTCTTTAACTGATTACGGATGATGACAGTAACATCGATCTCATTTTAGATAATCACTGTTTTTAATAATTTATTGACAAGAAATGTCGATAAAATATCTAAAACTAATTGATAACTAGAGATAAGTTCAAGCAATTTTAGAATCGCTTTATTATATTATAAATTATTGTTTAATGTCTTGCGACATGTATATATATTAAATGTGTGTATATATATATTATTTTTTCTCCAATTTAACTTTAAAAAATATAATTTTGCATAACTTTTTGGAATATATTAAAATATATACTTTATATGCGAGAGAGATAGAGAGAGAGATTAACATATATAAATTATTTTTCAATAGAGGGTGCCGGGCGGAGGAGGCGTGATTGTGGGGGGTGGCGGAGGTTCGGCCACCCCCCAAGGGGCGCAGCAAGGTAACAGTCATAATCTGGTGTATCGCGTGGTGGGCTCACGTGGACATCCCAGCGGTCACCATCCGCATGTAAAAAAGTCTGACAGCTCTCAGCAAACCGAGAGCTCGGCTTTCAAGCATCAGCAGCAGCAGCAGCAACAACAACAACAGCAGCAAAATTCGAACGGTTCCACCAGCAGCAGCTCCAACAGCCAACAATGGAAGAAATACATCGAGGCGGGTGCCGCAAGGGAAAGAGACAAGGAGGGCGCACCTCCCAGTCCTAGTCCCTCCAGAAGATCACAGGTGAGATACTTCAAGAAATATTGAAACTTTTAGTTCTTGATTTCTTTATATCTTGATATTTTTTTATATTGTTATAAACAGATAGATGTTAAAATTAACTAGCCTTAATCTAATATTCAAAATTGAATAATAAAGTTGATAATCTTACTCTCTAAAAGTGAATCAATGTATTATCACTGTAATCAGTGCTGTATTTATAACTGCTTGTAATCGTAGTAGTATATATACTACTTTCACTAAAGTGAATCAGTGTATTATCACTGAAAAACAATAAATACTCATTGATTACAAGCAGTTATAAGTACAGCACTGATTACAGTGATAATACATTGATTCACTTTTAGAGAGTAGAACAGATAAAGCTAATAAGATTAATTTGTGATTTAAATTAAAATAAAAAATAGCTTTTTTATATTATTATAATATATTAACAATTAAAATAAAATGGTTGAAATATATAGGATAAGCATCGGAAACAGGCCATGGCCGAATATGCGAATGGCGAGAAACCACAGAAAGTTTCATCGGGTACGTCGACGAGCGGGAGTAGCAAGGTTCGTGGGGTACCGCAAAGTTTCGGCTACGTTAAAAGACACAGTGCGGGCACTAGTCCGAGTCCCAATGGCGTTCAAAATGGCAACAAGGACGCCACTAGGACGGCTCAAGTTAGCGCTGTGCCAAGGACCAAGGTAGCGTAAAAATTATTAATTATTTTTATACGTCTAGATTTATAGATATTAATCTTAAAATTTTTTCTAGAAATTATAGTCACAAATTTTAAAATCTTTAGATTAAATTGAAAAATTAAGGATTACATTTTTTGAAATCCCTTTGATCCTTTTAAAATTTAAATCTAGATTATTAAATTCAGAATAAGTGTCAAATCTAACATCTCTAGATTCTTCAAAAATTACGGCTTCTTTCCTTTATTCTAAAATTAAGATTCATAATTTTTATTTATAGATTTCTACAATTAGGTATTTGATTCTTAGTATTTTAAAATCTTTGAGTTCCTTTAATATTTGACTAAATAAAAAGTTAAAATAAATATCAAAATGTTTCAGACTAAATATTTGAGTTTTAATTTGAAGCAGCTGTATCTTGTTTATCTCAAATTTACTAAATCAAATAGAGTATATATCGGGTATATTAAATTGGAATTGTTTGTCTCTTGGGTGTAGGTTAAAGTGTCTGGCGGCACGCAAACATGCACGACGGAATTGCAGGCCAACTCTTCAGGATCCAGCCAGGGTCACCACTATAAAAGTTATAGTCTCACCGGTCCCAGCGCCAGTCAACTCTCTCAATCAGTCCGGGATCGTCTCATGTTGGGTTCTCAGAGTCTGCCGAAGCCAGGCAGTCCAGAATTCACCGCTCTCTTCGCATCCGCTCATCATCGTGAGAGAGGAACTGGTGTCGGACCGGCGAGTACCTCATTTTCACCCCGAGTACTGAAACCGTCTGACGGTAGTCTTAGCGATACGTGCAGTAATTATGCAGCACCTGATCTTCAGGGCTACTACGGCACGCCCAACAGTCCCTATACAACTTCGTGGATGAGACATAGCAACACCTATACGCCCAGCGGACGATCTCAAGGTAATTTAAATATTAAAATATTATAATTTAATTAATTAAATTAGATTTTAAATTTAATTGATTAAAATATTATAATTTTTTAAGACATTGAAAAATAATGCAAATTATCAGTCAATTTACACATTTATTTTGTATTTATTTCATTTTATCATAATTTATTTTAATTTTTTATTTACAGTTTTTGTTCTTATTTTATAAAATTATAACGTATAATTTTTTTTAACTTAAATAGGAATGGGCTTATGCGAGGCGGACAGCGTAGAATCGTTAGGTTCGCATCGCGCGAGCTTAACACATGCCCGTCTCTTAATGCATCAAAGGGACTCTACGGGATCTCCGGCACCGCCTAGATTAAACAGGAGCAACTCCATCAGGTGAGAATTTTCAGAATCTTGTTTTTTAATTTTTATTTCAATTCTTAATTCTTAAATAATAAAAAAATGGTTAAATAGTTCTTTATATTATATTTTATTTTAATAATAGCATTCATTTAAAAAAAATTCCATAATACATAACACTTTAAAAACACTTCGCAATCTTTAGATAGCTAAATACTTTATTAACATAATATAAAAATATTTTTAATTATACATTAAATATAAGATTAATATATTTTTTTAGTTTTGATAAACATATTATAGATATATATAGATATATATAAAATTAGAAACATGATTTTTAACTTTTATTTTGAATATTTAACTTAAATATTAATCATCGTGAGGGCTGATTATAATCTTATTACGATATACATAATATTATAGCATGCTTAGAAGATGCGACTTTAGTATTCGATCAGTTCTTAAACGACAACTATAATTCTTTCTCTTTTTCCGGCTCTCTTCATTCACTTACTCTTTAATTAATAAATTCAATCGTGAAATAACGCAGGACAATTTGATTAACCGTTCTAGCCACCTACGGGACAGGACATTTCCAAGGTAGTGCGATAGTACACACTCGGCGATCCTGTTTTTCACGCATAAGTATCAAAAGATATGAACAGAGTCGTATCATAATACATATATACGCACTCGAGAATCGCTCTCACACGCACTCGCAGAGAGTTTTCTTCAAAACCTAATTTTGATCGAATTTTTGGATTCGAAAATTTTTCGCAACATATATTATTAACAATCTTAGAATCTAGAAATAGAGTATTCAAAATTTTTAAATCTAAAAAGCTACAAAAAAATTGGTCTTTAAAGTCTTTAAAATCGAGAATTATACATTTTAAGATCTTTAAATCTTTAAGGTCCGGTTGCACCAACGTTATTTTAGCTTTAAGCGAGACTTAAATATATGTCTATCTTTATCTTTCTTTCTAAATAAATAAAGACAGACATATATTTAAGATTTGCTTAAACCTAAAATAATGTTGGTGCAACCGGGCCTAATACTTTCAATCTCTAACTTTAAGTATAATAAAAATCTAGATTCTAAGATTTTTTTAGATTTAAAAATTAGATTTTAAGATTATTGGATTCTCGATTTCTTGGATTCTTAGATTTTGAAATGCATAGTCTAAATTCTAAAGTTATGATTTTTTTCAAAACCCATAAATTCTAAGATCCATTACATCTTCAACTCTTAGGATTTTTTAATTTTAGGTGATCTAAGAACTTGGATCCGAAATCTGTATATTCCAAAAATCTGTATATTCCAAAAATGTTGAGATTTTAAACTGTAAAATATTTGAGACCTCTTTAAAATAACAAAGAATTATAAATTATTAAATCTTGGACTCCTAGAATCTTTGAATTCTTACAATCTAGATTTTCCGGAAACTACAAGACTCACTCTATCACGCAAATGTAATTCACAGAGTGCTCTACGTGTCTTCGATATATTGTGTTGATAGTTATTCCTGCCGCAGATTCGACGTTGCCTATTGTGCCAAAGTCCATCTTTCAATCGTGTTGCTTGTGTAGCTGCATGCATGCGCGACGCTTCATCAATATTCTAAGCCAATATTGAAAGCAGAATATCTGCCGTGTACTTGCTCACTATCGTTATATAATAGTATTACATAACTTTGAAGTCATATATAATTATGTTTGATTAAACGAACAACATTTGAATATGAAAATAATGAATTCAAGTCGAAATGTATATTCGATGGATCGATAACTCTCGTTCGGTTGCCGCGAGATTAAATGCACGCAATGCTCAGGAAGTAGTCCTCGACTTTCTGTCAAGTGGAAGTAAGCTTATCTTTTAATTAGAGGCTCTTTCTGGAACTGAGTAACTGCGCGCACACTCGGGTGGTAGACAAATGTATTCTCGTTGCCGGAGTTAACTGAAACACTCGAAGTCTTCTTTTGCTGACTAAAGCAACCCGCGATTGGTACTCTTCACCGAGAGATGTTGTAAACCTTTGCTTAACATAACAAATATCGTTTTCCTATTATGAAAATAATTTTTAATCCGTTCTAAATTTGATTTTTATTTATTAATTTTGTATTTTAATATAACCAATAATTTTTCATAAAGTTTCCCAAAATATCACCAAATTATAAGAAATAAATTTAAAAGTAAAGAGGAATTTTTTAAAAGTTTTATAAAAATGAGTTGAAGAATTTGAAAGTATTAAGAATATAAATATAAAAAACAAATAATAATTCATGTAAGATTTGCTTTTTGAACAAAATAACAGTGAAGAAAAAATGGTTCTATAATAGTAAGTTTTCAATAGAAAAGAATTTTCTTTTTAATGTTATTTTTTACAAGTACGCGATAATTGTGTGCTTGTGTGCTTAGTATGATAAAGATAATTATAAATAAAATCAAAACTGGACGCTAATGAGAGGAAATGATTGCAACATCAAATGTAGTATGTTAAATTATGATTTAAAATACTTTAATAGAGGATCAAAAGCAAAGTTCACTGTTGAATTGCAATATCAATTTTTATAATAATATCGAAACTGATAGATAAGATACTCTTTTCAACGCTGAATGTATTCAATGTCGATACTTTAATTTTGGCTAGATAATGGTGTCGATAAAATAGTCCGAGTTGAGAGTCGATCCTCTCAAAGTCTGGCTTGATAAGAGAACATTATTTAGAGCCGCCTCGAGAGAAATCTCTAGAGAACATGGTGCGCTTATGTTTTCACAGATCTACAAAGAGCGAAAAGATGTACCCGTCGATGCTGGCGCGAGGCAGTGGTGCTTCATCGTCGGTGGGCGAGGAAGTCGGAATTGGCATGGGAGTCGGAGTGGAACCGTATTATAGCGTTCCCGTGGGATCAGCAGGATGCACCGGCCAGCACTGGTCCCAGCCAACGTCACCGACACCCACTCACACTTCGCGGCAACCACCAAATTTGTATCAACACGTGCACAAGGATGATGACAGTGAGTATTATCAGGAAAAAATTTCAAAAATTGATATAACTGATTTGTTGAAAAGTTGAAGGAAAGCTATTATCATTTTAAGACTAATTTTTTGAGTTTTGAAAAATACGAAAAACAAGAATTAATATTGCACTGAATCCTTATCTAATAAATCTTAAGATGGATTACAGTCGAAAATAATTACACGTCGCTAATGGAAACAAACGGAATAGTTAAGTAGGAGTGAATAAAAACAATGCTCTTGGAGTAAAAGGAATAGTAAAAAATAAAAAAGAGAATAGTAATTAGCTATGAGAAAGAATAATAAGAATATATAATTTAAAAAAAATAGTAAAAATAATAATAATAAATATATATAATAGCAAAGAGTAAAAAATGTTTTAAGAATAATAAATTGTAATTTAAATTAAATTTTTTCTCATTTGATAGAGAAATATTATAAAAGAAAAGGAAATATTATACAAATTAATATAACAAAAGTCTCATAGAAAGTAATGTAAATTTAGACACAAATGATACTATTAATATAGTTTACGAAATTTAAAGTTCTTCAAATATTAATATTAATTTTAGAACGAAAAATCATATCGATAATTAATGTGTAATAAGAAAGGAATCATTTGCATCTGCTTCAGTTCACGGCTCTTCGGTGTCGTTGGTATCTACCGCGAGCAGCCTTTACAGCTCGGCTGAAGAGAAGCAGGCTCATGAATTGAGAAAATTGCGTCGCGAACTGTTAGACGCTCAAGAGAAGGTGCACTCGTTAACCAGTCAACTTTCTACAAACGTGAGTATTACATATATTTATATGTATATATATATATATATATATATATATATATATACACACACACACACATATACACACATACATACACATATACATGTACATATACATACAATTGCAATCTTTGTATTGCTTGAATTTTATATACGGAGCTGTTAATATAGAACTCTACTCGTTATCTATTGCCGCGATTATTGCATCGGAACAAGCATGCGATGATTAGCACAAACCGATGTCGCTATAATTGCGGATAGCGACTAATTAACACGACCGGATCTATCATCGCCGCGAGCGGGACGCATGCAGTTAGTCGCATGGAAACAGAGCAAATTGGCGTGGATGATTAGTCGTAATTAATCGACAATTAGCGAACCTACAAGCCAGTATTCTCTAATGAACTTGGAAACCCCTGTTAACCTGTTGCGATGATCTATATGGTATGCGATTCTATCTACTATTGCCAGCTTCCATATCAAGAATCTGCGCACAAGATTACATATGAAGTACTTTATATTAACATAAACAAATTTGTATTATATGTAAAAAAATACTTCAATTTTTTTAGGTTTCATTTATCTTCTTTAACTTATCTCTTTTACAAAAATTTTTATTATTATTTGAAAAATGATTTAACATGTAATTTTGCAGCTTAATTAATTTAATAATTCATTTAATCCTTAATCTTAATTTTTCAGTTTAATTTTAATTTAATTTCTTAAATATCACAATGCGAAAATATCGTTTGGAAATATTTATACTTACAAAAAACATTGAATATTAGTTTTTTTTAAATATAAAATAACATATCTATCTCCGATATCCAGTGAGTGAAAAAGTATCGATATTGAAGAAAATACTTCCATTTCGAAAAGCGCGCGTTTTGTCCCGCGGATGTACCTGCAGCCGACTGGCCGCGGGACCACGAAGATCTCGACTCGTTGACCAATAGGATAGAGCGTCGTTCGGGCCCCGTAGACCATCACCGAGTGCGCTTCACGCGCTCAGTTGGCGTCGCGCAGCGCTTGGCATCGCACGTGTTTTGATTTTCGATTTGCACGGATCGATCGTGATCCGCGCGATCCGTCAATATTTTGCTCGCGATCGGAATCGGGAGGTGATAGTGCGATATGAATATATCGAAGAATATATCGTCACTCAATTTATATTAATTCAAGTGGATTATACTGAAACTTGGCGGCTTGAATCTCTCACCGAACAAGTGGATTAGAAAAGAAAGTAATTGTGCAACGAGATCGTTGGTCTGGGTCTCTATCGATTCTCTCTTCAGATGCACATTCGATGCATACGAATATCTTCTGATACGTTATCACGTGTTATCTATACGATGATTATTCAATGTCTATACGTTTGAAGTTGTATTTATCTTGTTGTAGACTGGTTGGGTTTTAGAAATGTGTTAGAATATCGACACCAGAAGCGTGCGTATTATTTGGAGAATTACTTGTTTATATCAGCAAGCTTGTAAAATATCAAGTTGTTCAAATTTATTAATGATATTAATGATAAGAGATAACGATAACATTTTAAAAGTATTAACCATAATACTATAAAAGTAAATCTTGCTTGATTGTATCAAAATTCAAGTGACTTGCTCTTTTGTTGAATTTAATCTTTCGATGGTAAAGTTTTTATTTTCTATTAACTAATTTTGCGATAATAAAGTTTTACGAAAACAAATTACGGAAACAAACATTAATCAAACATAATCGATATGAAAAATTTTATCATTTATAAATCATACACATTGTTTTACTTTACTTATCAGAAATTAAGTTATATGGTGAATAACTTTCACTTAAATTGAAAGTTAAAGAATATAAGTTAGAAAAATAAATTGAGACATCGATGAAATTTTAGAGATACCTCTAATAATTTAATATCTAATAATTTAGCAGGATAATTATGTGGTATTCAATTCTCGCTAATAGAATGCTAGATTTTCATTTCCTAGATTTCGTGTTACATCGGACTCACGGATTTGCGTTTATCTCGCCAGATATCGCGATCCTCTAAGTATGCCACATTTCTCTCGTGCGTTATCCGTACAACACAGTAACCTCTTTGCGATCCTCGATATATCGACAAAGCCCGCGAGAAAATCGATTGCTACAAAAGTTAAATTTAAAACATAAAATTCTCAAATTCTATCACGTAAAAAAGCACAAATTATACAACTTTTCTATAATTTATTATGAAAAAAAAGAAAATTGATTGATCAGAAGACTTTGTTATAAATGCAAAGTTTTTTTTTATATTTTATCTTTTAATTAACCAACTAAACGGAGAACTAGATTTGTAATTAATTAACCAATAGATGAAATAATTAGTTTGTAAACAAAATTAAAAATGAGGGTAATTTACAATTTTGCCCCATTACACTTTAATGTATTCAGGATCGTAATATTGATAATGAGGAAAGCCCTCAGGTCGAGGTCGCAGGTTCGCGTTCATCGCACTCTCGGACGCGCGTATGCACATATATGGCAGAAATGGAGGGAATCCTAGGTCGTTCCTAGGAGTCGCGGATTTTTGCGCGGTCGTCGGCTGCATCGTGCATTCCCGAAGCGCACTCTCGGTCGCCTTTCTTCTCTTCTCTGTATATACGTCACTCCCTCAATCCCTGAAGAAATCTCGCGAGGATGTCGCACCCGTATATAGTTATTGACACCCTATATATGGAGGAGTGAGTGCGCTCTCAATGTAGACGCAGCCTGTGCATCTGAAAATGCACGCGGATGTGTGTGTAATATTTCTATATTTTTTATTTATATTATATTGCACTTAGCAATTGTCATAATTACAGTTATTAACGCACGAGCTCAATTTAATTTAATTTAATATTACTCCGGTTTTTATTTATTATCGCACGCTCGTGAAGCAAGTAACTATTTATAATTGGTACATAAATAACGCTTTTAAAAATCGTAACGTAAAAAATTCTAAACGCAAAAATTTTCTATTTTAGAAAAATATTTTTTCATTTTATACGATAATTATAATTTTAAAATAAATATTCCAATGTTAGCTTTATATTAGATTTTACATAACATCGGTGTAATATCGACAGCAGGGGAGCGAATTGCGAATAAATAATCACAGACCTCGTCATAGGAAGCCGATCGATCGAAACGGTTAATTGATTAGACTTGTGGAACTACCGCGTACCGATACACTATTCCCTCTTTCTTCGATTGGCGCCAGGGAGAGAGAGAGAGAGAGAGAGTAGCACATACACGAGTCATAACACACGGACACACACGCAACCCGGCTAACACTCGGCTCCGCACTCTAATTGTACGTTTAATTGCTCGTAGAACATAAATCGCCGCGAAACGCTCGGCGGAGCGGAAAATCCACAGAGCTCATTCGCTCCGAAATGCGGCCCGAATCCGTTCCTTGCGATTCTTCTCCCGCCACTTTTCTCTCCTCTCACTACTCGATCGCTAATCGTCCAGATTTTTTGCCTCGAACCGGTGCTAATAGCGTCCTAAACAGAAAAGCTGCAAAGAAACGAGATTGTGATTATCTCCCGGCTTTATCGAGACCAAAAACGACGAGGCAGTCATTTTGCTGCTTAAAGGTTTCGAACGATCGTAGCTTGTGAACTTTTAATTAATGTTTCCGACGCAAATTCCGCAAACTGTATAATATTTTACAGATATAGAATTTTTTTAACTTTTTTTCTCTTTTTTCTTCTTTCTAATGAATTTTTAATTAACAGGGAAAAACGAGAGATGAATTTCATTTCATTGTAGTAGTATTTAATTTTTAATTAAAAATTTTCCTATAGTGTGTACTTTTTTATATTTTTTTGTACTTTTTTATATTGAATGTCACAGATTGATAAAGTTTCACAATTTCAAGTTGACCGTGCTTAAGAAATTTTTTTTTATATTAAAGATGTATTAATTCACACTCTCTTTTCATTAAAATAATTTCGAGGATGATTATACGAGAACGTCATGAATTGAATATCATCATTTCAATTAGACTTAGAGAAATTCAAGACTCTCTCCGGGAGCTGGGCAACAGATAGTAAAATTTTGCAAAAAATTAACCGATCTATGCCTCGAGGAATTTGAAAAGATGATTGGCTCGTTTATGGAAATTTAAAGATACCATGTTTTACGATCACGAATCATGCTCTACAGCGTTCCGTTATCGTAAATTTTACAGCCTAATTTCTAATGATAGTCCATTCATGGTAGAGCGGATATTTATCGCATCCGATGAACAATCACGATCGATCGATCGTATTACCGAGATTTATAGCGAACAATATTTTCATACGTTTACGCTTTCATCGTTATACGCTATATGTAATTTATATTATCGCTTATATTTCCTGTGTTGGTAAAAAGAAAAGCAACATTATAATTATATCATTTAGCTTAAATTTATTTATTGTAAAAAATTTTTCAAAATTATAGACTAGGTAGTTTACATTTCCTGTAGCAACATGAATCTTGTTTTTTAAGAGCTTTATTTATTTATTTGAAGCGGCACACATTTGCTTCATATTTGTGACCTACAGCGTAGAAATCTTAAACTTGTCAGAATACTTTAAAAGATAGGATACTTTAGTGTCTGAGATTTTTGTGTGCTTTTGTAATCTAAACAAAGTAAACCCTCTTTTGGAGAGTTGACTAGGAAAATAATTTTAAGGATATTTGTATACACTACTTTCTGCTTTCTCTTAATTAAGATTAATTTCCTCTTGAGTTGTCCTTAATAACTGTCATTGTAAATATATTTTTTTGAAGTTTGAATGATTTTTATATTTAAAATAAAACTAATAATATAATAATAAACAATAACATGAATTTAAACATATAAAAAATGCAATATAATTAAAAGTCTTTTCATATTTGGCAAAAGTTAGATCTTTAATCAAATTTATTTGATTTTATTTATTAATTCATCCGAATAAAACAAATTACAATTTTTATACTAAAAAATCTAAAAGCCACAACAAAAGC